AGAGGCAATGCCAAATCCCTTCTCTGCTCCAAGTATGAGTATTTGTGCATAATCAACCAGTGTACGCAAAAACTAGCAACAGCACCTTCCTCTTCCTGGATGACTACAACCTGAGGTTGATCCCCTACCATCTATGAAGACCAGCCAAGCCCTCCGTCTCTTGCTGATTATACTAAACATACTGTGATTTCAGGCTGTTACATAGTTGATGCTGCTCCGTCAGAGTGGATACAACCCACCTCATGGAGTAACGTGAAGAACATTCCATCTGAAAGAGAGGAACTAAGAAAATGGTATTCCCATGCAGAATTTCCCCTAGTGAGAAAGCTGGATCATGCTAGTGCTACAGACTCAGTGACATGTGGGCTTTGACGGAGGCGGCAGCAGCGCAGTTTGGAGGCAGAAATAACACGCTAGAAGCTGCTGAGACTGATCAAACCAGTGGGAATGCAAAGAACACAAGCGACAAAAAAAAAAAGTGACAAAAGCAAGAGGGGGAGATGACCATAAGAATTTTCTGTTTTTAAATAATTAAATCAATAGAGAAATTACTCTTAGGATGAATAGGTAGCATTCCACAGACAGGAAATTTAACACCTGGAAGTGTTCCTATAATTGAGACCTTGAGGAAAGATGGGATTCAGACTAATTGAAGGTAGCCTGTCTTTGTATCTGTTATCACTGCCGTATCGGAAAAGAAGGACCGGCTTTCAGTTCTGAAAGCCCAGGGATGACCTCCAACCTAAAGGAACAACCAGTTGCCTTTTCAGAACAGAAGCTGGCTGCAGAAACTATGGCTGGCTGGCCAACTGTCTTGAAGCCATGCAGCGTGTGTCACAAGAGGTCAGCAGACAGGAACATTAGCCACAGGCTACACTACCCAGCATCTTGTTTTCACTGCTCTGGGAGAGTAAAGAAGCCTGGACTCTACATCTTCTCTGGAGGGAGACTGGGATGCTCGTGAAGGTTGGAATGGCACAAATGAGATTCAGAGGAATGGTAAGCAGCGCCAAGTCAGATAAAACCCACAGCATTGAGCATCTCCATTCAGTGTGACCTACTTCATACCTTTAGATATTCTTGCAAACTTCTCTATGTCCAACCTGCCTTTGTTCTGAAGTCTTAAAATTTGAGATCATGTCTTTTAAACTAGACTGTAAGTTTGGAGAGACTCCATTGCACAAAAAAAGTGTTATGATCACTACATGTTTTCTCCTAAGAGAAGGCCCTGGGAGAGAACAACTGCAAAGACAAACATAAAAATACATCAATTTTGATGATTAGCCATTCTCTGCTGCACATTACCTCCCATGTTTTTCTTTTCTATTAGAGAAAAGTCTTAAACATACAAGTTTGCAGTGAGTAAAACACCAAAATTAACAATCACAAAACCATAAATAATTGTTTCACCTCTATAGTCAAGCCACATGGTGGTTCTGAGAAATGAAAAGTAAAAATCTAAAAAATCAAAACCACAAAAAGAAAACAAAATCCATCAAGAGATATCTTGATGCATAATTAGTACAATGATTAGTGAACATTTTTTGTTAAAATATACTTAAAATAACTTTTAAACTGATTTTATGTCTATGAGCATTTTACTTACATGTTTATATGTGCACCATATGCATGCCTTGTGCATGTAAAATCCAGAATAGGATGCAGATCCTCTGGAACTGGAAATACTGATAGTTGTGAGGCACTATGGGGGTATTGGGAATCAAGCCTAGGTCCTCCGCATGACCAGTAAGTGTTCTTAACTGCTAAGTAATCTCTCCAGCCTCTAAAATCACTTTTTATAGATGGCAAGAAATATAGCTCAGTGGTAGAATGTCTGGTTAGCCTTCACAAGGCCCTAAGTTCAGCTTAGTGTGGTAAAAGAAAAAAATGAAAAACTGTACACTCTTCCATACATTAAAAATTGGGATGTATTGTAGACATATTAATTTGGAAGAGAGAAATCTGATGGTTTCCATCCCTAGACAAAGAACTACAGGCAACTAGCAACTGCAGAGAGAGAGAGAGAGAGAGACAGAGACAGAGACAGAGACAGAGACAGAGACAGAGACAGAGGGGGCGGGTTTCTTAGGTCAGGGACAGATTCTTCAAACTTTCAGACCCTCTGTAGACACTGCTAAATGGGAGTCAAACTGACCCCACAGGCATCAAGAGTGAAAAGTGATTTGAAAAAAAGGCAAGCTCTCATCAAGCGAGAATTTACCAGTCTTTTAACTCAGAGCTGAATTTAATACTCCTTTTAACTCTAACTGAAGATTTCATCTAAGATTTTTCCCCAAGAAATAGGCATTAACAGAATGACATTTTTGTTTATTCCCAATACACAACAATGAGAAGCTATAAATGACTTTGTGTGATGATGGATGCCTTTAATGCCAGCACTTGGGAGGTGGAGGCAGGTGGAGCTCTGTGAGTTCCAGGCCAGCTTGGTCTACATAATGAGTTCTAGGACAGCCAGGGCTACATAGCGAAACCCTGAATCAAAAAGAAAGGCTTTGTAAATGCTATTGTTTAGAAAGCCAGATTTTATTCATTATCATTTCCTCAGAGTACAGGTTAATGTATGCTTCCTACCTAGACATATATGCTATGAGAAACAAAGCACACTGCGTTTATAAACGTGGGGACCTGCAAATGTGTATCCATTACTCCTGTGAGGGTCTGTGTGCAAGTTTGTTGCCGCTCCTTTTCCCATCAGGAAAGCTAAGTGATGCTACAGCTACAGTGTTGCCTCATCCAGGGCAACTGCTTTCTATTCTCAATCACATCCCGAGCTCTCCCAAGAACTGTATGAATCTTTTTCACTTATGTAAAATGTAAAGATGACAACAACAGCGGCATGATTCCAGTAAGTGATATCCGTCTAGAGCTTGTGAATCTGGATAATTCACTAGTATATCTAGAAAGCCACTAGTAAAAATTCATTATAAAGTGAGTATATTATTAGAGATGTAGATTCCAAACAAAATATTGAAGGGGTAGCTGCCCTCTATAGGATAAGGTCGTTCTTTCCTTTCTACATTTCCCACTAACCACAACCCAAACCCCTATACAATATAAAACAAAAAGGAGCATCTGCCTGAGGATAGAAAAATTAACAACAGTAGCTGGCACTTTGAGAAGGGAAATAAGAACATGGTGCCATCAATGTGGATTTCCTTTTTTATTTTTATTTTGGGATGGTTAATCGCTTTTACCTATCAGTTTTGACAACAGAATAACGCAGGTTGAAACTACACAAGTGATTCTACCCACACTGTGGCCTGTCCTCTGCTGGGACCTCAGGCATCTCTAATCAGCTGAAGCTAAAGACAATGAGGATCCTATGTAAGAGGGTATTATGGGCCGTGCTTGGAAGTGGCACATGCCATTTGTGCCCATGGCCCTTTGACTTGGACTAGAGCATGTGGCCATCTTCAGCTGCTAGGGAGACTAGGAAATCTTATGTAACCATGTACACAAGAGGAAAAGAAACTTCTAGACAGAAACTACTTAGCACTGAAGCTGTCTATGCCACTTAAACACTTCAGCAGAAAAAAAAAGGGGTACATGAGGAGACAGACACCAGAGAAGGCTTTCTAAAGATTGGGCATGAGGTTTACAGAATCATTAGGAGGGTGAAAAGAGTATTGGAAGGGATCATAGGATGCCGAGGCAGGGAATATGCTGATAAATTTGGGGTGAAGTGGCTTCCTCTTCCTTGAGCAATGGCTGCAGTTTGAGAGCCTGGAGTTAACCTGGAGAGGACAGCAAGCTGTGTAAGACTCAATTTAGAAAGCTCTAGAGAATAGCTATAAGTGGAGGCATAATAGAATCTGGGTTCCATTAGAAAGAGCTTGGGAGTTAGGAGGAGTGTAGATAGAGGAAGGAGATAGGGAATTCTTTGCAGTGAGCCAAGCAAGAAGTAATTTAGGCTTGAAATAAATGGTAGAGTGTGATTGTGGGCTCAGATATGAGAACTGAGATACTGATGAGTCAAAATCTATAGGATCCATTGCATATGGTTGATGAGACCATAACACATCAAGGAAGATTCCTTTCTATTTGTTGGTTCACTCATTCATTTGGGAATTACTTATTGAACATCTATAACATGTATTCCTCCAGATGTTGAAGATACAATAGTGAATAAGCCAATACTGGTCTTGTCCTCATAGAGTTTGCAATCTGTTGGAAATTTAAACAACAGTACAAAGGCATCTATGTTTATAGTATTATTCCAGTTGTCACTGAGCAAACAGCATGTTGTGTTTGAGATTCCTGTAGGCCATCTGTGTGCAGCTTATTCAATTTGGAAGTTATTTTGTAAATCTGTTTCTTAGGAGCGAAGCCTTGGGCACAGATGTGAATTTGGGAGTCATCAGCATGTAGAGAATTCCAAGAGACAAACAAAACAAAATCAATACAGATTATAGTACATGGAAAAAATTCCTTAACACCTTTGGCTTCAGACACCACCCCCTCTCCACCCCCGGGGAGAGGTTGTTTCTTCAACCTCGGGCATAGCTAGAATGAGCAATTTAAATGACAGTTCAGGCTTGCATGCTTTTTTTTTAAATATAATTTTTTTATTGAAAAAAAAAAAAGATTTCCGCCTCCTCCCCGCCTCCC